TAGGAAATTTAATTATTTTATGGAAAATTTGTTATATATATATATATATATATATATATATATATAGATAGATAGATAGATAGATAGATAGATAGATAGATAGATAGATAGATAGATAGATATACTTGGCGATAGAAAGATAGATCCACTCTGTATGAGATATAATTAGCATATTAGTGACAAAGCTCAAGGGATTCAAGATCACATCTAATAAAAACTTTTTTTTTTGACTTGATAAGTTTAAATCATTAAATCAGTCATCCTCTGTCACTTCAGGTGTATCTCAGAGTTCTGTTCCTGCTCCTCTGGTTTTTACCACCCATCTTCTTCCGCTATGTGTCTTTTTTTTGTTTTTTTGTTTTTTCTAGAAAAGCCTGTATGTATTGCAATGCTCCACTAAGCCCAACACACCACAGTTCTACTATCTTTCCTTACATTATAAAAACAATATATAGCACCTTTTAATTAACTATAGGGGCAATGGTTAATACGAGATAAAAAGTTGACCAATGATAAAAACAGATTAAAGAAAAAGGCAGTAAAATAAAAAAGCCCAACATTAGATTACAACTCAGTGCACAAATAAGGATACATGGGATAGGGTGAACATGTTGGTCTTTAATTTGGGTTTAAGAACATTCCTGCTTAATGTCTTCGGAAAGATTGTCCCACAAGGATGGAGCACAAAACGAAGAAACAGGGTCTTCATTTTCTGCCTGGCTCTGGGAAGTAAAATCACCTTTCAGTTAAATAATCCTCAAACTGAACTACAGCAAAACTGTATTTCTGCTCTCTGAACAAATCAATTTTATGGAACAGTTTTACCAAACAGATGACATTCCTCTGTTCCTCCCTCCCATGAATCCTTGTCTAGAGCACTTTATTTTCTGCTCATGTTAATGACATTTATTACATTACTGTCTCCATATTTTCTTGACCTTACAGAACCTTAAAGGCACCTTTAAATTATACATTTAATTCATATTGCTTGTACTGTGAATCTCTCTTTGATATGAATTTGTGCAGTCAGAACTGACAGCCGACACGCTTCCAGAAGCCAGAATGGCCTCCTGCACCAATCGTTTTACAAGATCTACATCTAGGCTGAAAGAAAATAAAGATTTTTAACACATAATGCATTGTGTTAAAGGAATCCAGCTCCCCTGAAATTGCCCAGAGCGTTTCTGTTTCCCTCTAAGTAGCAGGGCTCCCCAATTATTTCATGAATTTTCTGTGGAAAGAGCCGACAGGAGGGCAGGCTGCAGAGGCTGCTGTTTGGGCTCGGCCTGATTTATAATGCATGGAGACGAATAGGGGGAAGAGGGTGGGGGGTGAGGAAAAAGGAGGCCGTGAAATATAGGGGCTGTTTCAGTGGGCTGATAGTCCAGCTGCTAGAAACCTGATGGTCACAACGTAGGAGTCTGGATCCTCTCAGGTCTCCTTTCCATCCAGTTAAAGCTGAACTTTCACTGTAAAACTGAGAACAATTAATGAATATAGGACATGATGATGATGGCCTGCATAAAGTGAGGCAAACATCTATGTAGTTTGTTGTGGAGACGAAGGTCAGGCTAAAATCCACAAGATGCTCTACTCTCTATTTTTTTTGTGTAGTTAAACCTCATTTCCACACATGAAGACAAAATTTCAGACGAAAAGCTAGAAAATATGTCAGTCAGAAGAACTTTCTTCCTGATTTAATATTTAAATCCTGATTTATTGCATCATAAATCTCTTTGTTAGTGTAGATGGGGTGTTACTCAGGTCCAGGAGACCTGATGCATGATTAAAAGGCTGAATGTGGTGCAGGAAACCAGCCGGCGGGCAGGAGGGGGGGGGGGCGTCCGCTGTACTTTATCAGCATTCTGCTCATTGATCAGTGTTTGCTCCGTCTGCTCCAGCTTGGTCCAATCCAATCTAATGTGCAAAACGTGCCAGATCAGGAAGATCAATCTGAGAAATTCCAGCCTTCTGGATCTGATACAGGAAAAAAATGTGCAGAGTCATGGATTCAGCCTGTAGTTAAAGTCAGAATTCTGTTTCTGTGTGGCTCGTCTGTTCACTGATGAAGTTTTGAAGCCATCGGTTTGGATCCAACAGAAAACTGAAGCATTTATGGAGCCGATGGGGCCGATTCATGTGTTAATGTGAGATTTTTTTTTTTTTAAGCAAAGAAAGAAAGAAGAGATCAAATTGAAGTTATTAGTAGATTCACACTGATGCTGAGTTCAAACCTGCTGAGCTCACATGTGGTGAAATGATGGCTGTGATTGGCTGTGGACCCGTGGTGTTTCCACGCCGACTGGTTACGTCCGGATAATCCTGCTGAAGTGTTCCGCTGGGATTATGGATGTTCCCCGTTGCCTGGTTGTGTTTGAGCGTCTGCTGGTGTGACCGCAGAGCTGGAGTCACTGTGTTGGGAGTAAAAGGGGATTAAGGTCAGCTGGTCCAAACCAAGTGCATTTTTAGGGGGGGGCAACCCATATAATGATGACCTTTGACCTCTTCAGGATCCAATTTAGATCACAGAATTCAGATGTCTGGGTTTGGATGAAAAAAAACAACATTAAATGTAGAATATTTCAGGGTCGGGGCTTCAAACCTGCACAGTTTGGTCCGCTGCCATTCAGCAGGCAGGTCTGGGTTCAAATCCTGGCATGAAGTCATAATGCATCGGCTTTATTCTCTTTAGTGTCCTACCACAGTCGAAGGACATGCTCAGACATGCGTACCTACTGTACATGGCTGTTTGCTCCATGTCCTGGTGTCCCCTGTGAAGGACTATTGACCTGTCATCCAGGGTCACCAGTGTCTGCAAGGAGGAGGATTAATAAATATTTTGTATAAAAATGAAACCCCCTCCTGTGGCTCTATTCTTAATAAAGGTCGATATTTTCTTACGTTCCCATTCATACATTTCTCTGTAAACTGTCTGGAACCGACCATCTGCGCTCCAGAGCTTCCTGTTTTGTTTCTCTGGCCGCTTTGTGAGCTACAGGTAAATATGAGTGAACTCTCTCCGGTCTTTGCTGGAATATTTTAATGTCATTGCTTTCTAATCTTGAGTTTTTACTGGGTTAGTTATTTCCTTTTTTGCACAATGTCATATGTACTTCCTGTTCAGGTTTTATTCCATAGGTATTTAGTCAAAGCCTTTATGTTTGGTGTAATAAATGCTTCTCCTTTTCATAGCCTCTCTTCTTCCCGGACCTCGTGGCTGCAGGTTGGGGACACTGCTCCTCTTCCATCACTGTTGTTACAGCTCCGTTTCTAAAGCTTTCCTACCTGGAGGTGAACACAGCCACTCCATAGTGAGGGCTCACTCTGACCTAAATAAGTCCAACACTAAACAGAGACTGCAGATATGCTTCATTCTATCTCTATTCTTCCATTCTGCAGAATCTGTTAGTTCAATCTCTAACGTTCTGCTCTTTCTGCTTTTTAAAAAAATATAATATCAGCCGTGTTGCTGCCATCAACACCTTTGTTTGTAGATGTTGGAGATTGACCTGTTTTCCAGTGTAGTCCTGTTTCTCTGACTGTGACTAACTGGATGTGCTCTCTTCATCCTCTGACATTGGAGCTGGCTCGGAGCTCGTCTGCCTGGCTGTGTGTTTCCTGGTCGCCTTTTCCAGCTGCTTTTTGTTTCTCTGCTTCTGTCTCCTTGAACCCCAGTGGGCCTCAGCAGATGGCCGCTCACACTGAGCCTGGTTCTGCTGGAGGTTTCTTCCTGTTAAAGGGGAGTTTTTCCTCTCCACTGTCACTACAAGTATGCTTGGTGTAAGGGATTGCATTTGAGTCAATGAGTCGATGCAATCAACTGGTTTTCCTTAGATAGAAAATGACTGTATGATCTGGTTGAACTGTAAAGTGCATTGAGATGAAGTGTTGTAAATTTGGCGCCATAGAAATAAACTGAATTGTATTGATATTGTTGTTTCTCATCAGTTGGAGTGAGAGAAAGCGATAATAACTGTCCTGTTTGATAAGAAAAGCACACAGAGCTCTAAAAAGGCTCCATTTCTTTTCCCTGTCTTTAATTAGGCTGCTCTCTGCTGCAACTGAATCACATCAGAATAAATATCACCTGGAATCTGTTTATAAGGTGGGACAGCAGGTTCTTCCTCTGCTTCCTCCTGGGAGACAGAAGCAAAAACCGACAGCAATATCTCCCAGCTGGATCACACGTATGATTTAAGCTTAAATGAAAAAACGGAATAAAACAATAATTTTTGGGGGGAGAAAACGGAAAGCAGGTCATGTTTCTGATAGGAGGGGAGGGTTTTTGGAGTAAATGGATCCCGTCTCAGTTTTCATCTTCTCCCTTCATCAATTAATGATGATTTTTTTACTGCATAAAGGCAGACTTGGGCAGCAAGAGAAGAAATGTCACAAAAAGAAAAAAATGGAGGTTAAATGTCATTAAAGACTATATGAAGAAAAAAGAAGGTAAAAAAACAAAGAGGTGATGTGTTCTCTGAATCACATCAAGCATCTCTGCTCCAAGTCAACACATCTGTGAACCCTCCTCCTCCTCCTCCTCCTCTCTTCATCCCTCCACCCCCTCCCAGTCAACCATCTGCCTCCTCAGATCCCCCCCTTCCCCTCACGGCAAAAAAGTGGCACGGTCCAGCTTATGTCTGAGCGCAGAGGACTGAACCACTGAGGGCGTGGCAGGGTGGAGAGGGCTGGGGGGCGGGGGGAGGAGCGCTGCAGTGAAACTGGGAGGGCTGGCAGCATCAGCAGCATCCTCTAATCTCTCAGCCTGTCCTCAGCGTACGATGCTCTTTACAAAGTCTGCAGCAGATTTATAGTTTCCTGATAAAAAAGGATTTACTTTGAGGTCCGGATCTTCAGTTCCACTGGTCCCGGTAAGAGAAGTAATTCCTTTTTGGGTCAGCTGGAGGTTGAAATTCTGTCTGGGTGAAATTTATTGTAACATTTGATCAAACATTAAATCATAAAAGATTTAACTAAAACAAAGATATCAGGTATTCATCTGAACTTTCTCCTCTTGTAAAGGAGGTAAAGCAGGAAAATAAGGATGAACAATGGAAGGAAGGACTTTCAGTTTTATTTCTCACATCAGATCAGGACCTTAGTCCGTTTCTGAGGAGCTGCAGAAGGTTTAAAGCATCTATTCAGCAGGGATTTAGTGCCATCAGCCTTATGCAATCACACACCAAAGCAAACACTCTTCTCACGTTACGATCCTTTTCACTCTGCATGTGAGCTCAAAGGAGCTGATTGTTACTGTCAACCCATCTGCTGTCTGTGGAGCGGACCTTTAAAAGCTGACTACACCTGAGAGCAAAAATATGATGCCTGAATTCTTCCTGGAACCAGCACGTCTTTCCTCCTACATGAATCTCCTCTGATGACCTCCTTCATGATCCGAGAGAAGTCAGAGACTAAAAGCAGCAGCATTCAGAGATTTTGAACCCTTTCCTCTGTAGATCTGAGAAAGTTTTGGAAGCAGGTCTTTCAGCAGTTTGTTTGTGCTCCGGTTTCCTGTTTGTTATTTAGACAAATGAGTTAAAACTCTTCACAATTTATGTCCAAACTACCTCAAACACAGTGTCCTTCCTTTTTTTTAAACTCAGGAAATCTAAAAAAAAGTATTTGTTTGGTTAAAATGCCACCATATCCTCTCTGGAACCTGCTATGGTCCTGGAACTGACCC